AGAAGGGACCTCCCACCCCACTGAGGACGCAGTCCCCCGCAGCCACCGCCTACACTGGGGGCCCAGCCCAGCCCAGCCGCTCCACCAGAATCCCCCGGGCCAACTCCTCTGCCCCTCCAGGCAGCAAACTGGGTTGGGGGATGACCCCAGCAGGCTGCGTGTGCCGGGGAGCGGAGCAGGAGGCTGCGTGGAGGAGGCCTGGCCCTCCTGTCCCGTCCCGTCCCCACCCCAAGGACCTCGCATCTCAGCCCAGGGCAGGAAGGTGGGCAGGCCTGTCTGCGCGCACACGGACGGGCCTTCGGGAAGGGGAAACAGAGGCAGGGCAGAGAAGCCAGGAACAGAATCTCGTTTCCAGCTTCTAAAGGCACCTCCCACCCGCTCAAATCACTAGGCCCCACTGTCCTCCCCCAACCTCTAGGATCCCAGGCACCTCCCTGCAGCCACCAAGCCTCACCCCGGACCCCGGGTGCCCCGAGCCCGTGCCCGCGGGGCAGCACGGACTCCGGGGGACTCGGGCAGGGACTTACTTTTCTGTTTCCCTGGGCCAGGAGAGAGCTGCTCCGGCTGCCTCTCAGGGGGACGCGCCGTGCCAGGCTGGGCTTCCCGCCCGGGCCCAGGGCAGGGCTGCACAGCCTCACGTTGGAGAGGATGCCGGCCAGCGCCGCCGGGTCAGCCACGAACTCCACCGCGCTGGCATCTGCCGGGGGGAGCACAAGGGAGGGCTCAGGCCCACCGCCCCACCAGGCCTGGAGCTGGCATCACTGGCGCAGTGAGAGCGGGTCCTGGGGTGGCTCCGGGCCAGCGCAGCTCCCTGCAGGGAGCAGGGGACCTGGGGCAGCCCCAGGAACGCGCACCAACCCCCTCAACCTGCCCGCACTGGGGCCGACGCCCCTGGAGGCAATGGCCCCACACCCTGCTTAGCCTGGGGGGCGGCACCCCGGGGTGCCAGGGGAGCATCCTGCCCTGATACCTTTGCTGGCGGCGCTGCTCTCAGGCACCTTCTTCGGCCCCCCCGCCCCCAGCTGGATCTCCTCCAGGGGGGCCCGGGGCCGGCTCCTCCACCAGCCCGCAGGGCCGGGGCCGGGGCTGGGCTGCGTCCTCGGGGCCTTGCCCTGCGGGGCAGACACGGTCACGCGGGGACAGGCGCTCCCCGGCTCCAG